TTCCTGCACTCCAGTCTGGGTGACAGAGTGAGACTCCAACTCAAAAAAAAAAAAAAAAAAAATACAAAATTTATGGAGTTGAAATATACAAAAAGTCTGATAAATTCTCAAATGTAATGAAGAAAAACAGAAAGTCAAGAAGTTTAATGAAATCAAACTAGGATAAAGACCAACATACTCACAGCCAGACATGTTATTATCAAAGTTTTGGGCTGGATGTAATGGCTCACAACTGTAACCCCAGGCTTTTGGGAGGATGAGGCAAGAGGATTTCCTTAGCCCAGAAGTTTAAGACCAGCCTGGGCAACACTGTGAGACCTCCTCTTTATAATAAATCAAAAAATTGGGTGTGGTGTCATGCAGTTGTAGTCCCAGTTACTTGGTTGAGGCACAAGGATCACCTGAGCCAGCAGGTCAAGGCTGCAGTAACCAAGAGTGTGTCACTGCAATTAACCCTGGGTGACAGAGTGAGACTCTGACTCTAACATGAAATAAAATAAAATTTGAAAGTCACAGACAAGGAGAGATGTTTAAGGAAAGCAAAAGAAAATTGATGTGTCACCTATAAGGTGCTTCTATGAGATTAAGAGTGGATTTCTTGGTAGAAACCTTGCAAGCCAGAAAGGAGTTGGGTTATATAGCAAACATGCCTAAAGAAAAAAAACTACCAACCAAGAATACTTATAACCAATAAAACTGCCCTTCATAATGAAAAAATACAAAGACTTAGCCAGGCTCGGTGGCTCAGCCTGTAATCCCGCGCCTTTGGGAGGCTGAGGTGAGTGGATTGCCTGAGTCCACGGGTTCGAGAACTGCCTGGCCAGGTGAGACCTCATCTCTACAATAAAAAAAAAAAAAAAAATTAGCCGGGCGTGGTAGCATGCGCCTGTAGTTCCAGCTACTTGGAAGGCTGAGGCAGAAGGATCACCGGAGCCAGCAGATCAAGGCTGCAGTGGCCGGGAGTGGCCACTACACTCTAGTCTGGGCAACAGTGAGACTCCAACTCAAAAAATAAAAATAAAAAATAAAAAGACTTTTCAAGATATATAAAAGTTTAAAAAGTTAATCACTAGACATCTGCTACAAGAATGTTAAAGGGAGTTACTCTTATTGAAAACTGATTCTAGAAAGAATGGTAAAATTGATTAAATTATAATTTTGCAAATGGTCTGCAAAAACACCCAGGCAGCCGGGCTCGGTGGCTCAGCCTGTAATCCCGCACCTTTGGGAGGCTGAGGTGAGTGAATTGCCTGAGCCCGCGGGTTCGAGAC